ACTAAACTTTCCCTACAGTTTCATCTCTTTTTCAACTTCAACTTTTCCTCTCCTCAGTCGCAAAATTTACAACGACTTAATGATATTCCCAGGGTATTCAACAAATATGAGGTATTAACATCTTAATGTTTCATTTGCTTCCCAATTCCTCGACGTTCTAGTTCTTCTCAAGAGCTCAAGACCCATACTTTCCTTCTATTTTTTATTGGATTTCTCTCTCTTTTATGAGCCAATTTTCTTGATTTTCTCTGGGTTTCATTCCTCAGGTTGTCAAATTACAACAGAGGAACTTTTTCATTTAGGGGCTGTTTGTTTGTCTAAAAAAAGAGGGAAATCAAAGAAATGGAAAACTATTTCTAAGAAAAATTGTTTTGGGAATGTTTAGTTGGCTAAAAAAAAGAAAGAAATCAAAGAATTAGAGATGAGAAGATGTTAGTTGTCACCCTATTATTGGATGATGTGAGTAATTTTTTAAGAAAATTTGTTTCGATGTTGTTTGGTTGACGAAAAAAAAATAAGGAAATGAATTATAAGAAACATATTTCCTGTAATAGGTTATTTTTTTGTTTGGTTCATTCTTAAAAATAAGAAAATAGTTAAGATAAGATGAGTTGTCATTATATTATTGAATGATGTGACTCACACTTAATGAAATCGTTTTCCTAGCTTTTTGGGAGAAATGAGTGGAAATAAAATGTTAATGAGATGAGATGAGTTGTCACAATCTTATAGGATGATGTGAGTGATTTGAAATGATGAGATGAGATGAGTTGAGTGATGTTGTGGATGAAAATAATATTTTATTAGATGTTGTGGATGAGTTGTTGGATGAAAATAATATTTTATTGGATGTTATGGGTGAGTTTTGGGGATGGAAATGAATGAAATTGTACTTTTTAAGATTTTCACCTATTTATTTTTATTTCTTGGTTTTTAGGAAATCAACCAAACAGACCTTTACTTGAAAAGTTCTATCTGTTTCTTCAAGCATGTTCCTTTATCTGCTTTGTTTAGTTGTAAATTTATTATGTTAAAAAAAGCACTAAAGCGCTCTCCGTCTGTGTGAGACAAAGCAACATTTCAATATTATAATATTTCACACGGACAGCGTTTGGTTAAGTAGGGTGCTGAGCAAAACTAGCAACTTTTTCTCCTACGTTTCATGTGAACTGAAGAAGGAAAAAGAAGGGGGAAAAAAAAAGGGTGCAAACCTTTGATTTACAAATAAACTTTTCGGTGGTAAGTAAGTTTCGGGGATGAAGATGCTTCATTAAAAGAAGCTCCTCCAGTCACGTGACAGGACAGCATTAGCGGCCCTGCGGCCTGTATACGGTTTCCGTCCTTTCGACCCCCTTGTAACCGATGTTGTCATGACTCTCGTTAGCTCTTCCGATTAAAGCGCCGAAGAATTGCATTTGATTGCCGGCCCTGCTTGCTCCTCTTTACACGTGCGCGCACGTGCGCACACGTGCGCTCATCTCATCACACACGTAAATGGGTGGGTTTCACGTGACCACCCCTTCCCTTTGGCCTGAGATGGAAAATGATAGGGGCACACCCCAAACCACATCCCAAACCACACCCCCTCTCTCATATGTTACAGTGCATCGGGCCCCACATGGGATTTTAAAATTTTAAAATCCCATGTAGGGCCCGGTGCACTGTAGCATATGAGAGAGGGGGTGTGGTTTGGGATGTGGTTAGGGTGTGCCCCTAATGCCATCCTTGTGAGATAACACTTAATCAAGTTTTCAAACGCCACATAACCCCTTAACGTTTGGGAGCGTCGCAAAACCCATCCAAAAATTGCAATTTTTTTTCCGACACACCCCCTAACAATACAATAGCGGTTTTTGGAACTTCATCAAAAGTTCATGGGCTTTTTCTGAGAATGACATTGACAGGTTGGGGTTTGTGAAACAATTTTGAAAGCTTAGTAGTTTACGCGGCTAGGGGGTTATGTTGGAAACAATTGCAAACTTCTGGGAGTTTTTGAAAATATGTTAACTTTCATGGGGAGGGGGTTATGTGAAATTCACCCATATTTCTTCCTCAAATTTCCGAAAGACAATTTTTTATACGGATTCGGATCCTCTCCACTATCTAAAAAGTAGTGGAGAAACCATTACATATTCACAACCATTGATTATCTAGTTGGTGGTTGTGATTTTTTCTTTTAGCGCAAATTAGGAATGAGTACAATACACAGGCGTATGATAATTTTTAGATTTAGATTTTATCATAACCGCCTATTAAGTAATCAACGATTGAGATTAAAAGTAGTGGTTTCTCTACTACTCTTTTTTGTAATGGAGAGGATCCAAATTCTTTTTATACGAGACAATAATCTCTGATAGAGAGATGGAGCAAGGAATAGAATCTTAAATAGATAGCCCGAAAGTGGAGTCATTTGCCTTGGAATCTTTAAGGACCACAGGCTTAGCCAAAAAGCAAATGAGAGGATCTCAAAGGTTCCAGTTTGTGGAACGACAGTGAAGGGAAATCAAAGGTTTGCGCCCCAACCGACTTGGCATTCACAAACCATCACTCAACACGATAAGCCCTGCTCGAACTCAAGCCACTTAAAATGTGTAGACTACATCTATTTCGTAAACAATGTTGTCGAGGTTTCTATACGATCCAGAAATTATAGACATGATGTATGATAGGTTGGGAAACATCTTTGGTCACTAGGTCTTGAGGTGTCTTGATGTGTCATAATCTGGATGTAGTGCCATTA